TTTGGTTATCAGTCCCTTATCCGAGGCATAGTTTACAAAAATATTCTCCCATTTTGAGAGTTATTGATTCATACTAAGTACTATGTCTTTTATCTTGCATAAACCTATTAATCTGATGTAATCCCACTTGTCTGTGTTTGAGATTATTAACTGTGTTTTGGGGGTCTTATGAAAGAGGTCTTTGCCTACACCAGTATCTTTCAGAGTTTACCTAGTGTTCTCCACCAGTAGTTTTATAGTTTGAGGCTTTAGGTTTAGATCTTTGATCTACTTTGAGTCAAATTTTGTTCAAAATTTTCTTATATTGAATAGCAGATTCAGTAATCAGTGTTCTACTCGTGTTCCTGGATAGTGTTCACAATTAAATAGGAAGTTTAACTTTTATTTTCAGTGAAAAGGCTTTATTAAGTAATGGGTTTTCTGAACGTTTATATTTTGACAAACTGTTGAAATTAATCAAATTTTCCTTTCACCTTTTTTTAAAGATCATCATGCTTGTACGTAGATATACAAAGTTTTCATAGTTTATCCATAAGAGACCTAAGATATTGACTTTCTATCATAATTACTGTTATCACTGGCCTCAAAATAAAACAAAGATAATGACATAAAAAGATCAACTAAGGTCACCCTTCTGCTATTACTGGGAGAGTTCAGGAGTTCAGGTAGAAATTTTGCCTTTTGTCCTCTGCACTTTCTTTCTTTCTTCTTCTTTTTTTTTTTTGGAGAGTTTTTTGCTATAGGGCACGTGTGCTCACCAGAAAGACAGAGAGAGACAGAAAGAAAGTGAGAAATCACTCCCTAGGGTGATGGCCATGCCACAATCCCTTTTCCTCCATTCTCCTCTCAGGATCTTGGGCACGCACGCACACATGCCTGGCGTGCGTTTAAGCCACCAGATCTGGGACTCGAACCACAGTTGACTACGTGGGAGTCCAGCAACAAAGCCATTATGCCACCTGCTGGTCCCCTAATCTGATTTTATTTTTAAAAAAGAATTATTTATTTTATTATTTTATTTTCTTCTTCTTCTTCATTTTTATCAGAGAAAGAGATGAAAGTGAGAGAGAGAGAGAAAGCTACCAGGTCCAGGACTTGAACCACAGTCGGCCATGTGGGAGTCCAGCACTCTAATTACCATGCCACCTGCTGGGCCCCCCCCCCAATCTGCTTTTAATATTGTAGAGGGAGGTTTTGATTTCCTGAATGGCAGCTTTCATCTCTAATAGCTCCATTTTATTCTTTTTTATAGTGTGTGTTTCCTTTCAGATCATAGAAGAACTTCAACACTTCCTGGAACTCGTCTCTTTTCTCCTGCATCTTCCAGAGTTCATTATCTCTCAGGACTTGCATCTCGTTTAGTTTTGTCATATGAATAGTCTGAATTCTCTATCAGACATTTCCATGAGTTCTAATATACTGTCTGTGGATGACGATGGATTGTTCTTTTACATTAGGGGAGAGATATTTTCTTGGTTTCTCATGTTTCCTGTACCTCTGCAGTGGTTTCTGGCCATTCTTTGACAAAATCTCTCCACCACCGAACAGGACAGGACACACCTCAGCTTTAAAATGGCTTCTTGGGGATCAGAAGTTGGCGCAATGGCTATGTTGCTGGTCTCCCATGTAGTCAACTGTAGTTCGTGTCCTGGACCCGGTGGCTTAAACTCACGCCGGGTGTGTGTGTGTGTGTGTGTGTGTGTGTGTGTG